CCCCCACCCCTCACCCACCCACCCACAGATAGGTCTCTGGATCCGCCACTGCTTAAGTTAGTACATGTATATAACCTTCCGTATTAAAAAACCCAGTATGTTGTACATCTAGTATAGATAGAGAGCTTCAGTATAGAGCGTGTAGCAGTGTTTTCCGAGACCGTTACAAACTCCCCAAGACACTGCACTGGAATCAGTACCACGTGGCTATGTACATACTGATATACCGTGTATCTGTTTCTGAACCGATGATGATATTAAACTCCGATCACCAACATCCTAAATCAATACATGTCTGATACACACACACTATAAAAATCTGTAATTTCCATCGACCAATTCTTGAAATAAATTAATCATCGTTCTTGCAGGCTGATATCGGGCTTGTTTAGTGAAGTAGGATGGACTGGGTCAATCGTTGTCACGCTAGGGGTTCGACTACGGCTTCGGACCTCTGTACATACATACAGAAATTTATAAACGTCATGAAAACCTAAACAGTGAAACTGTCTGTAGATAAGTGTATTATGTTCGTTTATACAATAGTATAGACACGAGGTTCAAATAACGGAGACGCACTTTCATATAAATTATACTACACGTTGTTACTTTTCCTGTCTTAATTCGGTTGTTCAAAAATATTTGGCAAATTGGCAATATTCCACTGAAACATTTTACTTAATAAATCTAAAAAGTATGGTCCAACTAAACTGTAAAAACATTCTCCAACAATACGTGATGTAATACCGGTAGTATTGATTTATATTTGAATTAATTAATTACCCAGGTAGCTGATAAATGAAATAATCTCTGTTAATTAAATTTGTTTTCCACCTCGGGATATTGACACGGCCACAGATGGCAAACATTCAGGCAGCATTGCTAATTAGACAATACAACAATATGACACGTACCTGAGTCTTTGGTGACGGTATCGGCGGCGTAGACTGACGATAGAAATACACACCCCAACACGCACCACGCCAGTCGGGTCAGTAGCTGCGTATCCATGATAGATGTTGGTCTTTTTCTCGTTATATGATACCACACGAGTATTTTACTGACATAACACACTTAACTTTGTCGCCCTGGAACAGTCTGACTACATTTGGCACCAAACGGCAAACGAATCGACTTTCGATGAAAAGTTCTCGTCAGTTCTCGCCAGCGCTAGCGGACTTGCGTCGTGCTACCTCGGATGCTGGGTGAGATACTGGTTTCTCTGGCTTGGTCGATACTCAGACGCGTTGCAGCAGCGCATTCTTCAATTGATTTCGGTTAGTCATTCTATGAATAATAAAACAACTCTGTGAATCGTTTCTTGATTAAAGAAGTAAAAGAAGCGATATGAACCAGTCTACATTATAGGTGTGTATTGTATATAGCCATACATATATCTATTTCTCTTTTAATTAGGCGTAATGTGCGATTCTCTTTGACCCGGGAGATGTAGTTGTCGAATGACGGATTTCTTAGAAGAGTTCTAATGACTTGGATGTGAGGCATGATGTCAGATTATAGTCACGCCTATGCACTAGTGTTCTGATGTCATATAAATATAATGATTACGGCCCATCAGTGCAACCAAGGCACACACAACCTGTGAAGATACAAACCAGAAAGAGGCCATGCAGTTGTGTTTCAGGATGGCTTTGGTAAAGTTCTGAACGATGTAACGTCAAACAGGGCCAAATAAATGAACATGGGGTACATGTAGGTGTGTCAAACGGGCCCGATAGTTCAAACGCTGTAAACAGGAAAACAATGGACACTGAGGAAATCAAAGGATATTTGTATTAGTCCCTTGATATCAACATTTAGACCGTATAGTTTCTCGATTCACGCAGGCTATCCCAGCCGGGTTATCTTAGTCCTATTACAATGTGTATTTCGATTACCTTGGAATTTACGACTTTCTGCATGACAAACTCCATCTTTATGAATACCAATTCTGTCCCACCGTTTACAGAAATGTGTTGGATTGTGACGACGTAATGGCCGTATACGTATTGCACCACTTCATCTGAAATCGGCTTTTTGTAACAATATCGAAACTACAGAGAATTAGTTTAGGCTCGGACTAAGGCATGCATCTTCGGGGAAAAATTGACTATGGACAACTAGTTTTTATTGTTGCTACCATAATATCGTAAGAAAATAAACAGTTTCTTTGTGTGAAATGAAGGTTGGTGTTTTTAATTGTGTTGGCACTACAATGTCCCATGGATATATACATGTACATACATGCGTGACTTACATTATTCCGTCTTTTCGTATTGCAGAGCTATCTGCTCTTGTAAGCAGATATTGATTGTTACGTCATTTGTTTGTGAGAGTAACGTCATCAGTTTATGAGGAAATTACGTCATTTTCTCATAAACTGATGACGTTACTCTCACAAACCAATGACGTAACACTCAATACCTGCTCACAAGAGAAGATAACTCTGCAATACGCAAAGACGGAATACCAGACTCCTTACATAAATTCATTACTTGGAGTCTTAGACGAAGCACAGACAATTACCCTTATGGAACCCCTAGTCTGCTTATTCTTCTACTTTTTCAACGGTCACCATAGACATCTTGTTCAAAGTTTGGCCAAGTTGTGTTGGGTTTGAGTTCGAATAATGTTTTTTGTGGACATTTCGGTATTTTGTTGTTATTTTTGAAGGGTCTTTCATGGGAATTTGTTTCAGGAGATGATTTCAACAAGGAATACACAATAATCCTTGTACATTTATATATAACACAAACATTATTTAAATTACACTAATCGGTACTTTTAATTATCAACGGAAACTCTTGTTTTTATCATTTATTGAGAGCGAACTGATACAATGGCTTTCATCAGCCTTTGGACATCATGCGATGAAAGATCGGGATCCTTTCATGTATCTTACGATCAACAGTATAGGTTTATGAGTATGAGTGTGTTTATTTGACTGTTCTGTTAAACGTACAGTAATATAACGTACCAAGTGTTTATATGACTGTAATGATAACAGTACGACTATATAACAGTAACGTTAACATAACAACTGACTAAGTGATAGTGTAATACAGATATAACACCTCAAATTAGTTCCCATTCCATATGGAATATAATGACAATAGTATAAAGATAATTTCAATCATAAAGACAACAAAATCATTCTAGTTTATACATTTTGTGATGAAAACCACCGCTTTCTCTTTGCACTGGAGTTGTGATTTTTACGACTTTGTCTCGATCAGAGGAAAGACACCATAACCTTCTACACTTTGGCAAACGCTCAAAGCGGGGTATTGCCAAGTGATGCATTAGGAAACGAAAGAAGTCAGAAAGAACGCAAAAAATCTCAAACGATGCAATGCGTGCAGCAGATTTATTTTGGTCACATTTGTGTTCTCAAGTAAAGAATAAAATCCTTAACGTTTCAGGGGTCCCGCGTAAGCTACCTCTTACAACAGCAGGTATATTCTCCTAAATTCTCGACGTACAGGGATGGTTGCTTGTAGTTAAACTATAACATACAGATGTCATTTAAAGGAACGTTACAACGTTAGATATGAGGCAAATATTGCCATTGTCTTTAGCACACTTATAGTCATTCAATAAGACCTGTTTACTTGTACATGTATATCCGTATTATTGTCTGTTACAATCACCACAGTCAAATAAAGGCTGAGTACATGTACCTTATATTACCGTACTGTTATCAGTACAGTCAAATAAAGGCTGGATACATGTACCTTATATTACCGTTCTGTTATCAGTACAGTCAAATAAAGACTGGGTACATGTACCCTATATTTCCGTACTGTTATCAGTACAGTCAAATAAAGGCTGGGTACATGTACCTTATATTACCGTACTGTTATTAGTACAGTCAAATAAAGGCTGGATACATGTACCTTATATTACCGTACTGTTATCAGTACAGTCAAATAAAGACAGGGTACATGTACCTTATATTCCCGTACTGTTATCAGTACAGTCAAATAAAGACGGGGTACATGTACCCTATATTACCGTACTGTTATCAGTACAGTAAAATAAAGACAGGGTACATGTACCTTATATTCCCGTACTGTTATCAGTACAGTCAAATAAAGACAGGGGACATGTACCTTATATTACCGTTCTGTTATCAGTACAGTCAAATAAAGACTGGGAACATGTACCTTATATAACCGTACTGTTATCAGTACAGTCAAATAAAGACTGGGAACATGTACCTTATATAACCGTACTGTTATCAGTACAGTGAAATAAAGACTGGGTACATGTACCCTATATTACCGAACTGGTATCAGTACAGTCAAATAAAGACAGGGTACATGTACCTTATATTACCGTACTGTTATCAGAACAGTCAAATAAAGGCAGGGTACATGTACCTTATATTACCGTACTGTTATCAGTACAGTCAAATAAAGACAGGGGACATGTACCTTATATTACCGTTCTGTTATCAGTACAGTCAAATAAAGACAGGGTACATGTACCTTAAATTACCCTACTGTTATCAGTACAGTCAAATAAAGACTGGGTACATGTACCTTATATTACCCTACTGTTATCAGTACAGTCAAATAAAGACTGCGTACATGTACCCTATATTACCGTACTGTTATCAGTACAGCCAAATAAAGACAGGGTACATGTACTTTATATTACCGTACTGTTATCAGTACAGTCAAATAAAGACAGGATACATGTACCTTATATTACCTTACTGTTATCAGTACAGTCAAATAAAGACAGGGTACATGTAACTTATATTACCGTACTGTTATCAGTACAGTCAAATAAAGACTGGGTACATGTACCTTATATTACCGTACTGTTATCACTACAGTCAAATAAAGACAGGGTACATGTACCTTGTATATAACCGTATTGTTATCAGTACAGTCAAATAAAGACAGGGCACATGTACCTTATATTATCGTACTGTTATCACCACAGTCAAATAAAGACAGGGGACATGTACCTTATATAACCGTACTGTTATCAGTACAGTCAATTAAAGACTGGGTACATGTACCTTATATTACCCTCCTGTTATCAGTACAGTCAAATAAAGACTGGGTACATGTTCCCTATTCTCCCGTACTGTTATCAGTACAGTCAAATAAAGACAGGGGACATGTACCTTATATTACCGTACTGTTATCACGGGGGGCAAATAAAGACAGGGTACATGTACCTTATATTACCGTACTGTTATCACCACAGTCAAATAAAGACAGGGTACATGTACCTTATATTACCGTACTGTTATCAGTAGAGTCAAATAAATACTGGATACCTATATAACTGTATCAATACTAGGTACGTTATATTACCGTATACTTCTCTGTATGTATACGACAGCAGTCAAAGCAATGTATTCTGTCATAAAACGGAGGTTTATAGTTTGTAGTACTGTTGTTTGTAATTAGTTTGAATGAACTTTATAAAGAAGTTGTACAACTGCCTTGATTAATGACAAACTAATATAAATTCATAGAATTACAGACACTTTTAGAATTTCGTTTCCATAGTTTTATCAGGGGAAAAACACAATATATCGCAGAAAGAGCAGAATTATCGCAGAAACTTTAAAACGACGGTGTATCAGAGACTTTATATCGACAGTATATATATTATGTAGCATTTCGGTGTTCTCTTGTGCTTGTTATGGATACAGAGACAAAACTAGAGTCTATCAAAAAAATGTATGCACTGATCAAAGAAATTGAGGTTTAAGTAGGGTTCGGATTCCAGGTCCCCCTAGGTCGCTACTCGTGGTTTGACATTAACTTATTGTTCTCTGCTGGTGTCAGATTTGGTCAATTAAAATGTCAATGACTGATACTGAAATGGTATATCAGTGTGCTAGTATACAACACGGCTCTCTGTGCCTTTCAGTGAGATCGGCACTGTCTCAAACTGGCAGCGCTGTGAATAAATAGATTACCATACAAAAAAACCTTCCCCCAACTTGTGACTTCCGGTTTGCAGATACTTCCGGTTTGTAGAAATGTTTAACAAATGATTGATACTATAGATTGTAACAGTTTATTTCTTCTGACGTCACAACCCACATTGATGCCAGACGATAGAGTTCGTATCATTCACATACCTGACAGTTTAAATACACAAAAGCTTTACATTTGAGATGTTGAGTCACTAGATAAACTGATCCATGTTCTGAAGCTAATTACACGGCATTAGCAAGTACGTTTGAGGATTTCAATCCAAGGAGAAGTGTCAGGAGATCAAACGTTATAGAAAATGATACAATGTTAACACTTCGGGCTGAAATACTTCTCCTTTTTAAGAATTCCGCGACATTTAGATAAATTATGTGACAATAAGCTGACATACTGTTACACAGGATTGTGACATTTAAACGTGACGTCATAGTGACAGGTCATCATACACGTGTGTTGGTTCTTACCCGTTCTTGACCATTCCAAACTGCTGACACAGCATATATGTCGTAAGGGATCAGTTTCTATTGAACAATTGTCGTACAGTGGGACGGCTTTGTCCATCATCCGTCTGTTGGATTGCTTAATACCATCATTTATATTTTACTTGTGTGACAGAATTCATCAATATTTGTTTACTCGTGCTGGCGTTCTCGTGAAAATATTGAAGTATTCTGCCACAGATGGAAACCACGTGATATCCTTTATTTTTACTATCATTGTGATCCATACGGTGTTGAATGACTCAGATAGCCGTTATGTCTCGTGAACTAAAAGTGTCACGGAATAACGCATTACTTACTTGGTTTGAAAGGAATCCTAGAATTAGTTTGCTCATGAATCGCATTTAAAATGTTGATTTACTTTATTTCCATTTTGTTGATTCTTTTATCGACATTGCATGACAGTCAAAAGTAACGTGAACTGTATGGTTGGTAACACGTGGAATGAGAAGAACAACGTTTGAAAATTGCATGCTGCCATTGAATCAGTCACACACCAGTAGTCAGAAAACAGAACCGTAGATGTTTTAATTTTAATACAAGTAACAAAACATTCAACACACAAAGCATGCAGATCGTTTGACATGCAAATTTCTTCAAACAAAATATCACATTACAAATGTTATCATGATTGCTACATGTTTACACTTCCCGTACGGGATCTGATCGTTCAATACAAATGAACGCCAT